GAAACATCATGTCTCAATACTAAAACCTAAAGATATTCCAGACGATTATGACAAAAGACATCATAAATATAAACTTCTAAAAAATTACTGTAAAAAATAACCAACATGAAATCTATTTATGTTTTTTCATGGTCGCCTTTTTTTCTGACATAAAAGAAAAGCATATAGAACACGAACCATTACAACCCAGCAGTCAAGCTTTACCTCTTAGATAGGGTAAAATAGAACAGTACCTAGATAAGGAGAGAAAAGCATCTAGGAGCTGATATATATAATCTATATTTTGAAAATAGTCTAGATTCAACTGATAGAGTGCATGAAATAAATGATTTTTGAAAAGGGTACCAAGAATATACAATGGGGAAATGATTGTCTCTTCAACAAAGGGTGTTGGGAAAACTGGATGTCTATATGCAAAAGATTAAAGTTGGTCTTTCTTTTTTTTTTTTTTGGGAGAGAAAGAGTCTCACTTTGTTGCCCTCGGTAGAGTGCTGTGGCATCACATAGCTCACAGCAACCTCCAACTCCTGGGATTAGGTGATTCTCTTGCCTTAGCCTCCCGAGTAGTTGAGACCACAGGCAAAGTTGGTCTTTCTTTATACTATATATAAAAACTAACCCAGGATGGAGTAGAGATATAAATATAAGACCTAAACCATAAACTCTTACAATAAAACATAGGGGACAAGCTTTAGGACATTGAGCTCAGCAACAATTTCTTGAATATGACACCAAAAGCAAAAGTAAACAAGTGAGACTATATCAACCTTGAAACTTATACATACTGGAGGAAACAGTACATAATGAGCATGAATAGGCAACCTACAGAATGAGGGAAATGCTTATAAATCACATATCTGATAAGGGGTTAATATCCAGAATATATAAAGAACTTCCACTCAATAAGAAGAAAACAAGCAACCTAATTTTAAAGTGGGTAAAGGACTTGAAGAGATAGTTCTTCAAAGAAGATATACTAATGGGCAGTAAGTATGTGGAAAGATGCTCAACATCTCTAATCATAAGAAAAATATAAATAAAAACTACAGTGAGAAAACACTTTACAACTATTAGGAAGGCCACTATCAAAACAGCAGAAGATAAAAAGTGTTGGTGCATATGCAAAGAAATCGAAACCTAGTGCACTCTTTGTCAGAATGTAAACAGGTACAGGCATTATGGAAGACAGTATGAAGGTTCTTCTAAAAAGTGAAAGGAATTACCCATAAGATACAACAGTCCCACATCTGGACGTATAACCTACAGAATTCATCTCAGTATGGTGGCTCACACCTGTAATTCTAGCAATTTGGGAGGTAAACATGGGAAAATCACTGCTGCTTGTCTTACTTAGCAGCCGACTTGTCCTAGGGCCCACAGTCTGGCCCTCCAACGGTCTGAGGGACAGTGAACTGGCCCCCTGTTTAAAAAATTTGAGGACCCCTGATTCCGTGCATATGAAGTATCTAAGTAGTTGAAATCATGGAAATAGAAAGTGGAAAGGTAGTTGCTAAGGGCTGCAGGAGTTAGTGTTGAGTAGGCATAGTTTCAGTGTTAACAAATTGAAAAAGAGATATATTGCACAACAGTGTGATATATTGTACACTTAAAACGGTTAAGATGGTAAATTTAATGTCATATGATTTTTACCACATACTTAAAAATACTAACTATATAAGATGAAGCAATTCTGCAGTGGGTAGTATGGGAGAAATAGCTTGCAAAAGAAAGATGGAAATATGATTTATATAGGCACATTGTAGGAGACACAAGAAAATTTTTCCTACATGTTAAATAAATTTAGAAGAAATGTGTGAGATAAAAGTTGATACAATAATGAGATGAAAAGGAGATTTAGGAGATAGGAGAATAAATTGAAGGGAAAAAATTACATCAATTAGGAAAAAGAATGGAATTTGAGGACTGATAATGAAAACCTAACAGCACAATAATGTCTGTTGTTACCTGTAACAAAGATAACAGAAAAGTAATAAACAGATAAGGAAAAATTGAACCTGCAATTTAAAAAGAAACTTTATAAGTTTCCAACCAAGTACTGGGAAAAATTTGTATGTAATGATCAATATTGGGACATATGTTGGTGGTAGAATTGAACTTCAAAGAAAAAGAATGAATTTTTCCATGCAAAAATGCAAGAAGGAAAGCAAAAAGACCATTATGAAGAGGATAGGCAGATGAAAGAGAGTTTAAGGTAGTATAAATAAACTAATTGCATCTTTAAAATTGATAAACCAAGAAATACAAAAAAAAAAAAGATACATGATACAGCAACAGCAAAAATAAATAAGTGGGACTTGATTAAATTAAACTTTTGCACAGCAAGGGAAATAATCAACAGAGCAAGTAAATAACCTACTAAATAGGAGGAAACATTCACAAACTATCCATCTGATAAAGGGCTGATAACCAAAATCAGTAAAGAAACAAATCAGCAAGAAAAAAAATAACTTGGTTAAAAAGTGAGCAAAGGACAAGAACAGAAGCTTTTCCTTTTTTCTTTTTTTTTTCAGTTTTGGCGGGGGCTGGGTATGAACCCGCCACTTCCGGCATATGGGGCCATAGCCCTACTTCTTTAAGCCACAAGTGCTGCCCGTGAATAGAAGCTTTTCAAAAGAAGATTGACAAATGTTCAACAAACATGAAAAAATGCTCAGTGTCACTAATCATGAGGGAAATGCAAATTAAAACCACAATAAAACATCATATTACCCCTGTCAGAATGGCTGTTACTAAAAAGTCAAATACCAAAAGATGCTAGCATGGATGCAAAGAGAAAGAAACACTTACACTTTGTTGGTGTGACTGCAAATAACTTCAGTGGAAAACAGTATGGAGATTTCCCAGAGAGCTAAAAGTATACCTACCATTTGATCTAGTAGTGCCACTGGTAGGTATGTACACAAAGTAAAAGAAGTCATTTTATCAAAAAGACACCTGCACTGGAATGTTTATTACAGCACAATTCATTCCCATTTGCAAAGATGTGGAATCAACATAATTGCTTGTCAATTTATGAGTGGATTAACAAGTTTTGGTATGTATGTATCATGGAGTACTTAATCAGCAGCAAAAATAAATGAGTTAATATCTTTTGCAGCTATTTGGATGAAACTGGAGTACATCATCCTAAGTAAAATATCCCAGGAATGGAAAACAAACACTACATGTACTCTCTAATAATTTGAATCTAATTGATGGGCACACATGGACACAGAAGTAAAAGTTATTGGAAATTAAAGGGGCAAGGGAGGGCTGGGCAAGGTGGTTCACACCTGTAATCCTAGCACTCTGGGAGATTGAGTCTGGTGAATTATTTGAGTTCAGGAGTTCAGGACCAGCCTGAGCAAGGCTGAGACCCCCATCTCTACTAAAAATAGAAAAACTAGCCAGGCATTGTGGCAGGCGCCTGTAGTCCCAGCTGCTTGGGAGGCTGAGGCAAGTGGATTGCTTGAGTCCCAAGAGTTTGGGGTTACTGTGTGCCATGACACTACCATAGCACTCTACCCAGGGTGACAGAGTGATAGTCTGTCTCCAAAAAAAAAGGGGGGGGGGAGATGGGAAAAAGGGAGGGGTAAAAATTGTACCTAAAAGGCACAATGGACTATTCAAGTGATAGACACACTAGTAGCCCTTACTTAAGCATTATAAAAACTATCCACATAACAAAACATTTGTACCTCTTAATATTTTGAAATTAAAAAAAAGAAATACATATATAATCATAGTATTTAAAATATAAAAGTTGTTTCTAAAAGAGTTAAAATCAAACTATAAAACATCCAGAATCTTTAGAAAAATGGCAGGGGTAGGCCTGGGGGTAAAGGAAAGAAAATAGAGTGTAGTAAATTTGTAACAAAAGAAAAAATATGATAAAAATTTTTAAAATGGAGAAAATAGGCAGCTATCTATGAATAAACCAGATTCACCTATATTAAAAAAACTTTGCAGATTGAATTAAAAAACAAACTTGCTTCCATGCTATATAGCAGAGACATCAAAAGTAAAATGATTCAGAAAGGTTAAAAGTAAAAAGGAAATTTTACTTTCAAAATCTGAAGAAAATTTTTCTTCAAAAAGAAATGTGAGGCCATTAATATAGATGAGGTTAAATTTACCAACAGTCTTATAGGAATTAAAGAGCAATATTTTTATACTGATTTGCATTCCACAATGTAGATATTTTGCATAAATCTTTAAACATCAAATAACTTTGCATAAAAAATTTATAAAATGAGAATCACAGGTTCCATCAGTAATGAAGTTTAGAGTGCCTTATAAAAGAATGAAGATATTAAGTTATGTGAAAAAAACTCTT